TAAAGCACGCCAGATCGACGTTCAAGTCGGAGAAGCCAACGCTACGCAGATTCCGGCAGATCAAACGGGGTTGACAACGGCTGTTGTCACTTTCACCGCGCTTCCTCGGTAATGTAGGCATGTTGCCTGTTGGTCACGAGAAATGCGGCAGCAAATGCATTCAGTGTTGAATTGTACTACGTAGAGCCTATGCGACTAGACGCGGGGGCAGCGGGTATTGCTATAGAAATATTAGTGTTTAGTCGGAAGGAATAAACGCTTGGTCATTGTCGTCGGCGGAATTTTGTGTTGGGGGTGCAAGCCATTGTAGCACACACCCATGCATCAAACACACACAGCACCATACGGGCGCTGTGTGTGTTTGATGCATGGGTGTGTGCGTGTGTGAGTGATCGTGTCAAGTTTTCGCGCTCGAATTAACTTTTCGAAATGCTCTACCAACTAGCCCAACAAAAAAAGTTCTTTTAGAAGCCATTGTAGCATTGCGGGATAGGGATAGCGAGAGCACTGGTCTAGCTTGGGTGAGGGCAAGTGCTGTTGTGGCTTGAGGGGGGCAAGGGCCCCCTTTTCACTTCTCTGCTAACGCCCATGCGCGTGACTTTTTTTTTAATCTGTTCACCGCACTGCAAAACTTGCTCTATTTGTATTAACCACAGATGCAGTAGTGAATATGTTATACATGCAGGGTTGGGCAGCGTGTGTCAGCTGCATACGTGTAAATTATTCTGGTGGTTGAAACGCTAAAAATAAAGGGAGAACCTAAACTAAAGCTATTTGAATCCGCAAGGTGTTCCTGCTAGTGCGTGAATTGAATGCAGAATGTCGGACACGACAGGGTTGTTGAAACACGATTCACATCAATGGTCCTGAGCCGCGATTGTAATACGAATGTAATACGAGATGCGTGCTTAACGCGGGCGTTGCACAGCCACTCTAGATTGTATTTCAGCTTGACTCAGTTGAAGACTACAAAACTTTAGCTGGTTAAATCACCCAGTTAACAAATGAGTCCAACGCGTTGCAAATATTTCATCCCTGGTTTGATAGCGATCAAGAGTGAAAAATAATTTTATATATGTAATTGGGAAAAACAGTGCAAAAAAAGCCGTAGCTAATGTTTGGCCTACTATAAATATATATATGTACCACTAGTTAAAGGGGCTGACGCTTGTTTTTTCATTATCACTTACGAACAACGTAAACATAATATCTAGGCTTTCAGGCATGACCTGAGCAACTGAGTTTGTCTCGTACCTTCATAAAAAATAAAACAAAAGAACGCAAAAAATGGCAGTGCCTTAGCTCAGCTATGCCAGGATATACGTAGCGTTAGCAAAGGTTCAGCTGATTATTCTTAGCTTTCCAGATATCGTGCTTACAGCTGTTCCAATGACAAACACTCGGTATACGTATTATGTGGCACATGTACATTTATTTTGCCGGGCAACTACTTCGGCATCCAACGAGTTAGGCTTCTCCGCTCTACTGCACCGTTCAGCAGCATTTGCACTCTCCTTCTCCATGGCTATACCACAGTGGCAAACGCCAGTCAGAGGCGCTATCAAGCAGCTCCAGCGCAGTGTCAGATGGCGACTGCACAGGGAAGGCGCGTGCGTCGGCGTTTATATGTCTACCAAGGCTATAACGGCACTCCTCTGGAAAGCGCACACTGGCGGCGGCTAGTCGCGCGCGGCCTAGTGCGAGAGAGGTGCCGGCTCCGGTGCGTGACACCACTGATCGTCTTTGCAGCGCATCGAATTGCGCACACACCGGTGGCGAGACGCGCGTGGCGGCGGCGGCAGAGTATTATTGCGCATGCGCAGACCAGTGCCACGCGAAATTGGCTCAGCGAGGCCAGTGTAGCTAACGCTACAAAAATAAAGCAACGCTATAAGCGCTAGCGCTGCTCCTACGTGGGTGGTGAGTGGCTGTCCCGCATGACATTTGAACCAGAGATGGCGTACCTTGGCGCAACTCTTCTACCCGAAGGCAGCTTATACAGTAATACCCCTGTCACACGGGCACCCGCGAAGACTGTTTAACTCCCTCGTACTTACGACAACGAAGATGCGGTCCGTGTCACACGGCCACCCTTACCCAAACGAAGGTAAACGGAGCATTTCGCAAAGGACGTTCAACGATCTCCCTTCGCAGCGAAACGAGGTACTCTCGTCCCCAGCAGTCTAGAGGTCAGAGAAAAATTTCGAGCACTAAGGGGCCGCAGTGAAAGAATAATACATTTTGGCAATCTTAAACGTTCTTTGGTTGTAGTACTCATTCACAAAGCATGTTTGTTTACATATATTTACGCCCGCCAGAGTTCACTTACTCTCATTACCGATGCTCTACACTCCGTGCCTCGCACGTGGTGCCTCGCGAGTCGGGCCGGCCAGCGCCATTGAAAAATATTTCGTCCATGCGTGTGGTTGTGGTCGTCGCTGTGTCACTCATGGCTGAAGAACACGAAATGTGCGCTCACGAGGCAAGGAAGCACAAGAACTTTCGTACACAAACATGAACACAGGCAACAAAACAACTAAAAGCACAATGTGGCCAACGTCACTAGCAGCATCGCTACATTTAGCGAATTCTTTTTATTTGAAAATATTTTTATGGTTTGTTAGCCTCGTACCTCCTTAATAGTGTGTTTTTTGTAAAAACCCCAGAACGAGGATTCACAAAAAATGAATGGAGATGAAATTAGAATACTTTTCCGAAAATCAAACAGCGCCAGCTGAGCCCCCTCGCACCAACTGTTACAACCTTTTTATTGCCCTGTGACACTGCCACAACTCCTTCTGTGTCGAACCACCTAGGGGAGATTTACGATGACGGTGTTCAACGGAGTTTAGTGGTGGCTGTGTGACAGGGATATTACTCTAGAAAAAGAGAGAGAGAGGGAGAGCCACACTGCTGGCGGTCTCCTTTAAAACCGCAGCACGCGCCAAGAGCGAGTGCTTCCAGTACTCCCGTGTCACGCCGACGGACAGGGGACATGACCCATACATAAAGCTTGTCGGAGCTTAGGATACTTAAAAAGAAACACGCTTGCTTTTCTACAGCAAACCCGGGAGGTACTATACAAAGGATACGTGAGATCAGTACTGGAGTACGCATGCTGTGTTGGGACCATGCAACATCATTTAATAAACAAAGACTAGAAAAAAGTTCAGTTCATGGTGGTGAGATATGTGTTTAATGCACCTACGTACGACAGACAACTCAGTGCGACGGAAACTAAGCTGAAGTTAAAATGGGAGTCTCTGCAGCACCGAAGCGCATCATTTCGACTGAAGCTACTGCACAGCATATTTTAATCTCATACTTGAATGCCTCGTGACGTATACATAAGTCGGCCTCACTAAATTTCAGTCTGCAAAGATCATGAACACAAAATAGGAGAATATAAATGCAATAGATCGTCCTTCAGCAACTCTTTTTTCCGAGGACTATAGGTCAGTGGAATCGACTTACTCCTACAATTGTTGAAATTTCTTCAATGGATGCGTTCTTTTCTGCAATAAAAACGATTGAATCTTTCGACTACTAAGCCCTATAAACTACGTGTGTGCGCCTGGCAGTCACCATGATGGGTACGGTATTTTAGTTGTAAACCATGGTGTATTGTTTGGGGGATAATTTGCCTTTGGGCTAGCCGAATTCTGCTCTTTGTTTTAATTACCATGAGATTTTCATCATTTGTTTGTGATTTCTGCATTTTTTCTCTAATACTTGACTTTTCTGACCCAGCTCTGCCAGGTGCACCTGAGTATGTTTTGTGCCTTGCAAATCTACTTATTTTCTCTTTTCTTTTTTTACACAAACTTACGGAAACCTGCAAACTTTCATGTTCTTTTCCTGTACCCTCCCCCCTCCCCCCTAATATAATGCCTGTATGGGCGCTGTGGGTATTAACTAAATAAATAAGGAGCCTAGTTTCTAAAATGGCCTTGCGCTTTTATACAACTTCGCGCTCATAAGGGAACGTCGGGCCAAGGTGCACGAGAGGCCGTTATGCTACACGTGCTACCCTTTGATTTAAATGTTGTCGGTGCGGTAAATAAACACAACCTTGATATTGCCATTGTGCCACGAAAACACAATCCAAATTTAGAAGACGAAAAAGGGTATGATGACAACTCAGTTCCTTTCACTGCAAAAGACGTGGGGAGGGTATGTCAGTCGGCTAATTAAAGACGTCTACAATGATCCGGCAAATTTACTTCTCATTTAGTGATTCAATGACATGACCAGAGCGCTCATTTATCTAGAGCATATGTGCGCATTGGTTAACCATCTTACAAATATCCGTACGCAATATAATAGTAAAATTACGAGTCAGGTATGAAGAGGAGTACGATTCATCAATATTAATTTGCCCAGTTTCCACCATACAGTTATTCAGAATGGAGTAAGCTAGAATGCCTCTATATTTCTCAGAGATATTCACTGCGACGCAAAATGGACCGCACTAATAAAATTAATACTGTCACAGACGAATTCACACCTCCTTGCAATTACTAATCAGGGTGCGCGAGGCGACACTCGTTCATTTTGGTGGGGAGTGCGGCGATTGAGATGGCCGGAGAAAACCACGCCGCACGCCCACAATCTCGGAGGCCGTGCTCAGGCATATTATCTCACGGCGCGCAGGGTGCACAAACGAGGGTAAGCCCGTGCAGCGCCTCCTCTTCGCCGGTGTCATCGTCGAAGCAAACGAAAACACGCAGGCGAAAACAGAAAAGATGGTGCTTGCACTACAGAGGCTATCAAGTAGACCTGGAGATGGAAGGAGCCTGCACGCTGACACAAGCGGGGCTATTCAGTTATTTCTAGAAACTTCATGTGCTCCAAACTCACCGATGTATTCGGTTGGTACGATGCCTCTCGCGCTCTCGTTGTGAGCTGCCTCGGCATCTGCTGAGTCCGAGCGAGAAGACCAAAGTGGTCAACCGAATATGCAATATACTACATTGTTCCCTTTCTGTTTTGTATTTCAGTGCCTTGCGAGGCCAAGTACTGTCCCTGGAACGGTGACTGCACCGAAGATCGGCTGGGGGCGGCACGCTGTAGCTGCCCGACGTCGTGTGACTTGGAGTCGAAGCCCGTGTGTGCCACCGACGGGGTGACCTACGCCAACCGGTGCAAGATGCGCGTCGATTCGTGCCGGAAGCAGAAGAGGCTCTGGTCGCGCCACCAGGGCAACTGCCATGCCACACCGCCATACGGGTCGCCATACTAGCCACCGAGTTTTGCGCAACTCCATTTGTTGGCTCACATTAGCACGACCAATAGTCACACACGTTCGCGTTGTCCTCTCTAGCATTCGATCGACCTTGACTGATTGGTTCTCCTCCGCGTTTTCCGTGAAGTTTATTAAAGTGACGTTGCAAAAACTGGGTGTAGCTTACAGAGTTACCGACCACTAACCGTGGAACTGTAAAATGTTGCCAGTAAACTGTGTTAGATTAGAAAAGCAGACAGGGATTAGGCAGGCACAGAATAACGCTATATGCCGTTTTCGAAGTGTTCTGTTCTTTTTATCTCTTGTACATGGTACTGTCGACGCAGTAATGGTGCAGGAAGCCCCTAGAATTATATAACAATTGTAGAACACCGGTCTTAGTGAATAGCAGTTCTGTGCCATCAGTAGCTCTGCTGTATGCTCTGCTTCGTACGCAGTCCTCATTTTTCTCACTATTTCCTTTTTCTGCCTCCTGTTTTTCCTACTTTCAGTGCAAAGGGGCAAGCCTCTTTCCCTTCACAAGCATCTTTCCCTTCCTTGTTTTCGCTTTCGCCTTGTCTGTGCCTAAATTTCTCTAGTCGCCAAAGAAAGACATTGCGTCAAGAAAAGGCAGGAGAATCAGGCGCACATTAGACAGCATAGCTGTGCAGTTAACCAACTGTGCCAACAAAATTCTTTAGACTTGAAATAACCACATCAAGCTTCAAAGTTACGAGAACGCCTCTTTAGAATATTGGAATTCCCGAAGGAGAAAAATCATGCGTTGTCATATGGCAAATGTTCGGCCCCCAGATGTATCTTGACTTACACCTCTCAGAGTTGGCTGCAGTCTCCTCCCGATGACTCATCTTCGTATCCTTTTGGAACAAACACGCACGTGCTTCTTCAATGTCATTTATAGCGGCCAAATGTGTGTTCTATGATTACGGTGAAATAAAGAGCCATTGCGAGAACGAGTGATTTCTTCTGTAGTTCAGAAAGAGAGAACTAAAGTTCCTGGCTCGTACGTGTGCATATGCGCTAAGAACTGGCACTGGAAGCTGCAACCAAAGACACATAAACTACTTCATCTTCAGGATCATTACCAGCGTAAGAAAAATGGAGCTTTTTTTAGTTGGCGGACTTGTGCAGCTTTGCCATAATCAACGAGATTCCTCGGGCCAGTGGAGGTGAAGCGTGCACTCTAAAGACGCGTTTTTGATGCCATGAAATAAAAGCACGAGAAATCGAATGTATGTGTCAATAAAGTGACTGAGATACTATAGTGAATATGATAAGTAGCCGAATGAGAGATTTCGTTAAAACAGTGTGTCGATGAGTCACTGAGTTACTTCATGACAGCAAATCTGACGAATACAAATTCCGCAGTCCAAATGTGGGTTTTGGCGACCTTCCGGCATTATACGCGATACGACTCCTCAGCACTTCTATGTTCAATTTCAGCAGACACCTTTTTTATTTGTCTGGGTGAACATCAGATGCACGGACCTCGTTATAGACGGCTCAAAAAGTAGTTTAAGTTGGATACCCGAGGAAGGAACTTTTTTGCCTGCATTATCAGTGGCATAACTAAGGGCGGCAAGGGGATAATTGGACAGATGTATGGAAGAATGGATGTATCCGGCTGTGCCGTTTAGATCGGGCGGTGGCTCATGCTACCTTGCCATAAAGTTGAGTACTACCTTTGTGTGTTTAAGGATGGAATTTCACTCGCGCCTCGATTGTAGCCCCCAATCAGTTAGCCACCTCATGGTTAACTATTTGTACCTGTTTAAAGTGCATTTTGCCTTCACTGCCCCTAAATACCAATGCTTTGAAAAATTCGGCGCCCTTCGACTAGAGGGTGGAGCCTTTTACAGAACATTATCCAGTGTGCAGCCATTCCCTCCTCCTCTGCACACGCACCGCATACTGTGTCTGGGCCTTGCTGTTTTGCTCGGTGCGCCATGGTCCACAATACTCCCGTTCTAGCCTAGAAGAGCAGAGAACTACCCCGGGAATTATCGTAGATCTTTTCTCTTGCAATTTCCTGCTTAAAAACTTGGTAGGCCTCCAGTGATGGTTTGTCAGCATTCCCATCTTCCACATGTCTCTCTCAAGTTACTTCACCTTCTTCTTGACTAATGTTTCCTTTTGGCTTGGTATTCTGCTGTTGTCTAAATACCTGCTTGAAAATTTCCGAATTCACTTTCTCCATTTATTACCAACATTTTTTTTTATGTACAAGTAGCTGAAAACTTTCCTAGCCCAATGCTCCTCTCCAATTTTTCTCAATCGCTTCTCAAATTCCATCTTGCTGCTAACTTCCCTGCACTCAAACGATGTCCATCGCATGTCACCCTGTACCCTCTGATTTGGGGTATTCCTGTCAGCTCTCAAAGCAAGTGTACCTATGCCACGTTGTTTAATTTTCAATCTTGCTTGAACTTACTTTTGATTTCATGCACAAAACCGCATTGCCTAACGTGAAAGTCCGGACAATGACACTTTTCTAAATCACTCTCACAACGTTACAAGTGCCTGAAAGCCACTTGGGAAGGAGTGGCGAGCTGAGTCCTCTCAAGATACGCTCGGTACCACCCGTGATACGCCCTAGTATCACGCCCTAGTAGTAGATACGCCCTAGTACCACCCGTGAGGCTCCTTTTACTATGTTTAAATGCTGCTCCTTCCCTTAAACAAACAAAACAATCTTCTGGGAGCCTGTTGCTAATACCAGCAAGAAGCCCGCGGCTCTTTCCCGTAGAGAGGATCAGAAAAAGCAATAAAATAATTAAGTTGCTTGAAGCCTAGCTGTTTCCACCCAAGCACGGTTTTAAATACGGATGTGGGCATTCTTGGTAGTAGACAGAAACATTTCTCTCGAGTTCTGGCTTCTATTTATTGGCAGTGTGACATATGTTTGTACATGTGCGCTTGTATATACATATAAAACTGTAATAATATTGGCGCAGTGGGTGTTGTAACTTCCTAAACCAACTTCTAGCTTTACCACTAAATTGATCTCTTGAAATGTGCATTTTCATCTGGTTTAGGTTAAACAACCTTGGTTATTGCACACCTTTTCACATGTACTTATCCTATAGTGATCATTGTGAGGGAAAGCACTGCCCACGGTCTTGTTGCTGAAGAGATATGATTAAAAAGTTCTTTACCGACTCATCAATTATGTAAGGCTTGAAGCTTATGGCGGGTTTTCAAGGGAAGATGTCAGAATGAAAGGACAAAAGGATAAAACTATGTACGGGCTTTTCTGCAAGGCCTCATTCTTATTCTTTTCAAATCAGAGTCTCGTTCACAGATTGATTTCTTCCATCAAATCGCATTTCCGCTTCTCGTTTTTCTCTGTGTATTGTTACTTTCCCCATGGCACCTTTCTCGATCAGCGTGCATCGTTTGCGACTGACTATGAGAGATGATGTGCCCGAAGTGATTTTTTGGAGAAGGTATCAAATCCCTTGCGTCCGCTGATGGATATAGATGTGTCACGTGTGAAGTCAATGTCACGCACAATAATAACATTTCTATCCCCAGTCCACAGAAAACGTCACTTTACCGGAAGTGCTTTCAGCAAATGCATGCGCGGGACTTCGGCTCATTGCTCTTTCTAAGCTATCTTTATCAGCCATGCATCGTGATGTTTATCAACTTTGAAGTTGATGAACTTGAAATATACTTTGCTCTTTTGCATGCTTACGTGACCGAGAAGTCGGTCACAAGCATGCAAAAGAGCAAGGCGTGGGACACCCAGGCGTCGGGGAAGGTTTGCGAGGCTTCTTGCTCACACAAAGGACAGACTATTTATTACACATTTACTAAATTTAGCAAACTAGGCGAACAGACGCGCCTTTACATGAGCAACGCCATGAGACACGACTGGCCGTCAGAAAGGCCACCGAGAGAGAGCGCTGACCACTCACGTGAAGCGATTTTTATACCCCTCGTCCATGCACGCGCTTGTTGTCCGATGCCAACTGCGCGTCTGAGCAACGCCGACGCGCGTTCGATGTGGCGCACATGTACGCCTCATGCTTTGCTGCAGGACACGGATCGCGTTAGCAGGGCTCACCGATGACTGTCTCTTGCAGGGCTATGCCCTTGCTCTGCCAGTCATAACAGCTCGTCTACCACCCGAAGAGGTAACGTAATGGCTGCAGTACCGCTGCTCCCTGAAGTGACCCTTGTACGTGGTCTGTAGCGATTTCCCGTACCCGTCGCAGCCGTTTTCAACTGCAACACACACACACACACACACACACACACACACACACACACACACACACACACACACACACACACACACACACACACACACACACACACACGCAGCACAAATCAGGTCGCACAAAAAGCGCATTTCGGCGTTGCCTGAATCCACAGAACACCAATAGATGCTGGGTTCCAACATGCAGCTCCACAGCTGCTGTGGCCCGGACACCACTGCCTGGTTGCCCTGGTCAAAGGAGAAACACATCGCTGAAACGTCAGCAGTTCACAGAGGCTAGTTCCAGTCCAACTTGCCATGCTGTCGGACCGGTAGGCATTGCTAGATTCCTCTTCTGCCTGATAGGAAGGGATGCGCTCTACCAATACCAACACTGAGAACACTCAGCTTTCCCGAGATCCACTATGCAGGTGTCAAGATTCTTCAAGGCTTCTTCCTTAACGTTTTGCATATTGTTGTGGTGACTAGTTAAATAACCTGACGCTCATGTGATGGCGTCCCAAACCAACAATTTCACTCGCTCAACCAACCCTGAACAGAAATCCTCTTTGAAGCACGTTCGTTGCGACACGTGCCTAAAAATTCGTGTTACACCAACCCAACACTTACCGAAATTTCTCTCCATGTTGCAGTAAAGACAGGAATTACACCAAAATATTTGTCTCCACGCGCTCGGAGAAAAAAGCATCTGAACGAGCCCCACCTGCATCCTAAAGCCTTCATCTGGCTCGAAGTCTCGCAGACTGGTTATTCTTGAGGAAGTGCCCTTCATAACAACAGAAACTACAGAGAACGCCTCGAGCTTTTTGTAGAAACTATGCCGTGGCAATCTGCTATCACCGGCCACGCCACGTTTTGCAAATTGATCAATGTATTCTTTATAAGTGTATGTCTGATAAGTCTCATTCTCACTAAAGCTTCTAAATGACAAGTTACTACTCACGGGGCTGTCTATACCACTCAATGTTTCATTAGGGCAATCCTGCCCATCCACATTGCTATATACTGATGATAGTCCCTCTGACAGTCTTTCTGGTTTGGTGAGTGCGTCTGCGCACTCTTTTTGCTCAGTCGGAAACACCACATTTGCCAGAAGCCGAGAAAAACCTTCCTTTACGACCGAGTCATTTCGACATTCTGTCATAATTCAGGCACCTCTCATCTCCGGCTGACAACGGATGCCGAGATCACCTGCTAGCCCAGTAGCCCTCTCCAACTTTATCGTGCCGGGTCTATCAATAATCTCTTCGTTTACTGTGGCCTGACCACCACCAATTTTCGCCAGGAGACTGTGAAGCTCAAGCCGCAATCGCCCCATTTCTCTTTCTTGAGCTGCAGCTATCTCTTTCCGCTTGGAGGTCTCTCAAGCGTAAGCCACTCTAGTTCTTCGGCTTCCTTACGCCTGGCCTGTACGCGCTCCCAAATATCGCAAAGCATCTCCTAAACGGCGCCGAAATCCTCAATCGCCTGTACTAAATACGCCTTCCTGTGTATCCTCGCCACGTCAATAACCAGCTTCCCAAACAAAAGCACAAAATATGTTTTTATATGCAAAGCATTTAGCAAAATTTGGCGACTGTGAGTCTACGTATCTATCTGTCTTTTAGCTCTACTGGCTGTTTTGATAATGGTATCGATACCAAACTTGGTATGGCATAACATGACTGTATGAACATATTTGAAATCATGACATGTATGTCATAAATATAATGATTTACATATCATGGT